AAGACAAAGACCCAGAACAAAGAAAGCAAGCTGAAAAGCCAAAAGTTAAAACTTTAGCTACGATATTTCAAGTCTGTTGCTAGGGAGTGCACGGATTCATTTCTTCAGTTTACCTGTGCCATAAGAAGAGATTGCGAAAGATAGGCAGCGTCTTAGTGTCGGTTCGTGCTTGCAGTTGCTCACTGGAATAATGGAAATAAGAAGTCGGTGCAAGGTCATGTAGCGTTAGGTCGCTCATTGGTATGGGTAGTGTAGGAGTGCGATGGTCCACTGTGTGTGTGCTGGTGTAGGGCGGGTATATATCTGTATGAAGTAAAAAAGCTGGCGAAGATACCTACTAAGATCCTTTGGAGTGTGCTCTAAGGCGGATACTTTTTGCAGACGGGAAGGGAGAGTCTCGGAGAATTCTGTCTAGGGAAGCCGAGGGTGTTTATTAGAGACAGTGGTGACGGTAGCATGTCAATTGAAAAAAGCCGTTAACTATTCTCTTCTGCATAGATGAAGAAGGTCCAGAACGGCGCAAGAAGCGTCTGTATTGAGCAGTTCGTGAGTTTTGCAAACGGGGAATGTACTGATAAGTGATTCAAGATTGAAGGTTACTGAATAATGAATAGTTGGGTTCTTACCTCAGAGTTACAGGATCGACAGTGCGTTAGGGCTCACGAGTACTGCGGTTGCCCGACGACTGGGACAGGGAGGGAATAGCCGGGCGCCTAAGTGTAAGCCTGGGGCGCGGTGTTACTTGCCAAGGATGCCTGTGGGGAAAAATGTGAGGCTTGAAAGGGGAGTTAAGAAGATAGGCAACAAAGAGGTACAGCTAAAGAAAGTATGCTACCTTGATCTTAAAATTGCGTCGTCTATTTTAAAACCTAGATTAAAGTCTATGTAGCCTGCCGACGGTTGCTAGGGATGCTGTGTAATCCGAGGCAGATCTGGAGCGCCGAGGGGGAGACTCGTGTTGAGCTCAGGAGTTCGAGAGCGGCCTCGAGGCTAGAGTGGACCCATCTGCTACTAAAAAAATAGGAAAGAGAATTAGGCTGACAATGTAACAATATATAGAAAAGTTAGCCAGCATAGTGGCACATGGCTGAGCCAGGCACATTGGAGGCGGAGACACAGGAGGATGCGAGATGAGGCCAGAGTTTGAGTATGCCAGGTTGAGCTAAGCTGACGCGTAGGCACGTCGGGTAGCAAGGACAAACAGGGTGAGACTCGGCTCAAAGAAGAAAAAAAAAAAAGGTTTTAGAAATCTGTGAGTACATCTGTAGTAGAGCTGAGGCGTGTGGGGGGATGGACTATCGTCTTGACTTTTTGTCTCTGTATTGGCTCTGTTGAGTTTCAGAGTTCTAGTTATGGGCTTGAAGTCGACTTAATCGTTGCTGGCGTTGTACGTGACAAGCTGTTGAATGCTCAGTCCAATTGTCAGTGTTGCGTAGCCGAAACACGTGTATGCGTCATCTCTAGAAGTTGATTGCGATCTTGGTGCAGTACCGCCGAACATCTGGTATCAGCGTCGGATGTCGTCCCGTCTACACTTCGCTAGGAACAGTATAAAGATACGTGTGGAGTAACTTGTTGTGGTGTCAACATCGTTTGTGCGTGAGGTTAGTCTCGAGTCAACGGTTATTCTCTGGATGTTTCGGAGTTCTATGAGATGTTTGCTCCGTTGTTAGTAGGTCACTATTTGCCTTTGCATCCTGTTAATGTGTGGGCGGGTGGAGTGCTTGCCGAGACACTGTAAATTGTTGCTGTTGATTTGGTGCTTGACTTTTAGTTGTATTGCCCTTAAATATTCAGCTTGTGTCGAGAGTGAGTACGTGTAGGAGAACGTGGAAATAGGTAGTTGTTAAGAAATCTGTAATTGTTGTTAAGTTTGTAGCGCTGATCCAGAAAGTGGTGTAGTCGGTAGAGAGTTGAATTGTGGTCCATTGACTGGTGGACACGCATTCAACGGCCGTGTCGTGGCTAACAGTGCTCTGCCACAGCAGGAGCTTGTAAGAGCAGGAACCTGCCCGTATGCAAGCTCTGGAATCGTTTTGTCTGCTGCTTTCTGGAGTGGTTCTTTCCCGAGCGTTCCATTAGGTGCGCTCAAGAATGCTGTCAATGATTCAGTTGATGACTGCGATGCGGCAAGCGCTGCAGAGCTCCAGGAGAGTTCGTGCGTTGTGCAGCTCTTTCCTTGCGTCAGTACTCTGCCCTGCGCAAAGATTATTGCCATCTCAGCCTTCGCAAGATCGCGAACTTGAGTTCTGGTCACTCGCACCCTGGGGTGAGAGTGCAGTGCATCGATCAGTAGCTCAGTGCAAGGCATCAGAATCCTGGCGCAAGGTGATCCTCGTGCCTCAGCCGC